AATTACACGAAAAGTTACAAACGGTTTAATCAGTTATCAAGTTCGCACTAACCATTTTATAAACGCTCTACGTGACCTCCAACTTCTGCACGGACAACACTGAAGTCGCTGCTTGCCGTGATTCTGCTTTTTGAGGTCATCCAGATTAGTCGCTAATGGTGGCACAAAAACACCACGGGTCCTTTGACGTATCCCCACGAGAAAAAGTCGCAGGCTGTGGTGATGTCTGCGGATCTTGGGGTCCCGTGTGACATACCCAACGTTGAGTCAGTGCGTCATTTAGAAAACGTCGAACCTGCAGGTGCCAATGTTGGGTGGTGTATCCGTCTTGCTGAAAAATGAAATCATCGGAAGTTCAAGTGGTGAGCGTTTCATTCATGGGGCGGTTCGTGGTTGCAGAGATACTGTATTAGCGATTTCAAATCTGGTCCGTGAATTTTAAACACCCGGTATATGTTCCACGCCCTGTATAATAATAACCCTATGTGTCCTGACTTTTAGACCACCCTGTATAATAATAACAACAACCCCTATGTGTCCTGACTTTTAGACCACCCTGTATAATAACAACAACCCCTATGTGTTCTGACTTTTAGATCACCCTGTATAATAACAACAATCCCTATGTGTCCTGACTTTTAGACCACCCTGTACAATAACAACAACAACCCCTATGTGTCCTGATTGTGGGCCACCCTGTATAATAATAACAACAACCCTTATGTGCCCTGACTTTTGGGCCACCCTGTACAATAACAACAACAACCCTATGTGTCCTGACTTTTGGGCCACCCTGTATAATAACAACAACCCCTATGTGTCCTGACTTTTAGACCACCCTGTATAATAACAACAACCCCTATGTGTCCTGACTTTTAGACCACCCTGTATAATAACAACAACAACCCCTATGTGTCCTGATTGTGGGCCACCCTGAATAATAACAACAACAACCCCTATGTGTCCTGACTTTTGGGCGACCCTGTATAATAACAACCACCCCTATGTGTCCGGACTTTTGGGCCACCCTGTATAATAACAATAACCCCTATGTGTCCTGACTTTTGGGCCACCCTCTATAATAACAACAACCCCTATGTGTCCTGACTTGTGGGCCACCCTGTGTCCTCACCTCCCTACACTGAGCCCCCTGTAAAGTACAGAATCGATTTTACGATGATTATTATTCTCGCATTTAAGGCACTGAGTGGGACGGCTCATTTTATCTATTTATATAAACAATCTTAGCGATCTGCCAAAGTTTTCACAGATACCCGTGCCCGACAACGTAGACCTGTCGATTATATTGCCAATGGGTATACACCAGACTTTTAGTCTTCACTTGGGAGACACACACAGAGACTCGTGGAACCCTTCCCTGAATAAAGATCACAATAAATTTTGATTTAAAGCTTTCGTGACTGCAGTGATTCATATTCTTAGCTCTTTCGGTAAAGTCACGTTGAAGGGAAACAATAAAAAAATACAATATATAAAGCAATAAAAATTCTCGCGACGTTTCGACCATAACACAAACGGTCATCATCAGGTGTGAAAAACCAACGGCATGATGACTGTTTGTGTTATGGTCGAAACGTCGTGATAATTTTTATTGTTTTATATATATTATTATTATTTTATTGTTTCCCTTCAACGTGACTTTACCGAAAGAGCTAAGAATAAAGATCACAATCTTCCATTTGTACTGCAGCAGGAGGTATCCCGGGTTAGCCGTGGATCACTTCCTTCACAGGTGTTCCAGTAGGGGGCAAGGGGTAATTTCACTTCAGGTTTGATCGATTACACGCTTTGGATGATTGGCCCTGTGCTATTTGCGTTATTGGAACTTGGTTAATTGTTGTCATGATGATTATTCTTCTTTGGTTCTTTCGGTAAAGTCACGTAGAATGAGAATAAAATAATAAATTGATAAAATAAAATAACACAATAATATTCTCACGACGTTTCGGCCACAACACAAGCGGCCTTCATCAGGTGAAGGGAGCGAGACTGTCTGGTAGGACAGCGCTGGAGTGAGAGAGCCACGTTCAGATCACGGCTTTTAAGCTGTGTGAGAAGAACAAAGAGCCTTGACGAAGGAATTAGCATAAAATTTAGCATTGAAAAGGCTGAATGATTAGCTTGTGACTGGTCACAGAAATAGCTATGTTAAAAGTTAAAGCATACACATCCGCAGAGGCACCCATTGTTAAAAGGAATTAGCATAGAATTTAGCATTGAAATAGCTAAATTAAGGCATTCGCTTGTAACTGCTACAGAAATAGTTACGTTGAAGTCAGAGCATACACATTCACCGAGGCACTTAGTACAAATCAAAACAGGAGAATTTAGCATTGAAATAACTAGGCGAATTTAGCATTGAAATAACTGGGTGATTTGCTGGTGACTGGTCACAGAATACTATATACTATATAGTGAACCAATAAAAACTAAAATATAAATTACCTTCATGTTATCAATAAACTCTATATTCTCCAAT